AGAAAGTGGCACAATTTTTATTTTACGAACGCCTAATGTAATAAAGCCCGCCCTGAGAAAGCCAAAGGCTGGCTAAAATGTATTGCCTGCGTTTAGCATTCTGGGCGATAAAAGAAGGACCAGCAGCCAGCAGGACTCGCACACACGCACACGCACAAGCACAAACACAAACACAGAAGCGCCTGCAGCTCCCGTAACAAATCTGAGGTTGCCAACCTTGGCAGGGGGCGGGGCAGAACTGGGTGGCCATGTGTGCTGCGGGCTGCGGGATCCGGGTGGATGCGAATGTGCTGCCTGGAGCGGGGGTCAGCGGGCATAAATCAAACCGAAAATTACACGCATTCATCTGCTGAGCTGGCAAAAGAAAAATATCTGCCACATTGCCCCACAACCAGGAGGCGGGGCAGGGCTTGGGGGCTGCCGAATTGGGGGTTAGTAAGCGTCCTGGCAAATGGCGGGAAATATGGGTAACTGTGCAAAATTTAATGGCGTACGAAAATCAATAAGAGGACGTCGTTAACTGCGGCTTCTTCAATGCGCCCAAAACGCACAGGTAGATAACGCTTCTTTTTTCTTTTTTTTTAATATTTTAACATTGTTATTATTTTTATATTATGTCATAGAAGTATAATTTTATAAAATTTGTGTCTTTTCTGCATAATTTTATTGCATATCTTTTGTTAATGCTACATGGTTGCTCGTTTATACACGCGTTGATTGAAATTCAGATCTGTTTATCAAACTGCAAAAGTTCAATAACAAGTTAAAGATAAAAGCAATTAAAAAAAATACGGACTAACTTCACAACGAATGTTGAATGTGCTATAAATTTGATTCGATGCGGAACATGCTATATAGACAATTTCTAAGAGCAGGAATTGTATCTCAACTAAGTTATTGATCAGCTTTAAGGTAAATATGACTAACTATCCATTTAATCCATCTGCACTGCAGTTCCAGGATGGAACCTAAACATATCTTTTCGGCAGGAGATACATTAAAAGTCCTTTTACTCAGAAAAGCGGCTACTAAGCTAATTTGTTATTATTATTGTCTCATGAACGCATTTGCCGCATTTTTTTAGGGTAAGGTGCAAGGTCTTGCAATATTATAAATTTAAGATGCACGCCGGGCAAAGTATGAAATATGTATTTAATGAGGATTAGTGCTCAAAAATATTGCAAGACAATCATTAAATATGCAAATGAAATAATTGCAGACACAAAGAAGAAGAAAGCATCTTACTCTTTCCTAAATTGACGAATACAAATTAAATTGATTGTAAAATGTTGTTTTATATATTTCTTTTTGAACTTAGTACGTTTCTATGCTCAAAGTAAGTCAAATCTTAAGTTTGCTTTATAAATATTATTATTTTTAAATATTTTTAAGACTAGGTCTAGTTTATAGCCCACATTAGATAGTTAATATAAACTCTATGAGTACTCTGTGTTGTTTTTTTCAAATAATTTCTGTATACTATATTCACATATGTAAATGGAACTTATGTGAGCTCGTTTAGATTGTCTTTCAGGGAAGTAGTTGCCACTTACTGCAGCCACAGTAAACTGGCCGCCAATTAACTAATTTGCCAAGCTTCTCCGAGGGGCAATTAAATGGAAGCGGACTGTGGCGCCAGCGACATGTGCAAGATAGAGATACAGCTCAAACTCACACACACACACACACACTCGCATTCGCACTCGCACACACACGCGTGCAAACAATTGCAGATAATAATTGTTTGTTTGTGTGTTTTACCTGCGAATGTCAAATGTCAGGCGAACTGATAATTTTGTAAATAGTTGTTTCACAGCAGGTAAAACTTTACAATATACCGGAAATCTCGAACTGTTCGACATTGCACCGAAGTGCTTTTTCCTAATGGAACTCTAGCTCCAGAGTCCAAAGGAACTGCCCAATGAAAGCGGGCAATTAAAAAAATAAGCCAAACTAAATATTCCACAAAAATTACCTTTCGAAAAAAACAACTCATGTGGCAATTTGGCACACGCTCAGCTTGTTGCCCACTTCAAAGCTGCGGCCGGGTCGATCTTGAGCGGGGCGCGGGGGCAGGCGCGTTACCCATTGCCTCGTTTCATGTTTTTCCACAAAGTGGCGCCAAAGTTTATCAACAATTCAACAAATTTAGATAGTTTATTGCACATTATTATGCTCCTCTCATTGTGAAATGCGTGCCCCTTTGGCGCCTATCCCCTTTGTCATGGAACTCCGACAGTTCGACAACCCGACGGCCCGACGATACGAGACATTTGCTACACGCAGCTCTTGCGTTTCTATCTATATAAATAGCCGCTTTGTTATAATTATGAATACAAGTTCCAGTTGCCAAGTGTGTGCGAACATATGGCCACGAGACCACGAATACGATCACGTGATAATATCCCAAATATTGATCTGTCTGGCAAAGTTTCTAGGGCATTATAAATAGCGCGGTCAGCTGGTAATATGAATACGAATATACCAATTCGAATTTGAGATTGTGAATAGATTTACAAGCTTGTAAACAAGTTTATAAGCGTTATTAGCTTGTATTTAATTCTATATAATACCTGGCATAAATATAGAGTGTTATATTAAAGAAAGAACATTATAATTGATTTCCTGGCTTTTTAAAAGTTGCAGTCATTTTAAGAATGCCAGATATTTCTTTATCTACTCGAATTACGCTTTTTGTTATTATTTATGGCAAAGTCGATTAGATAGCTATTATACGGTATCATATTTAATATAAGTGGAGGTTGTTATAAATCGATTATATTTAAGTAAACATATTTTATAAAATTTTTGTTTTATTTGATATAAAATGGAATTGAAATGTTATAAGTTCGTTTTATCATTATTTTAATATTAGAGTGTACAATATATATATACATAATTATGTAGCTGCATGCATAAATGTGTTTATATATACATTTCTATAGTTGTATCAAAAATCGTAATTTATCTTTTGAGGACGATGAAGAAAGTAACATTAACTTCAAGCCCAACCAACTGTAAGTCAAAACATTATCCAGACCCAGCATCATTTTAATCAATTTAATTTCATGTCCCTCCCCTGCTCCACTCTGCAATCTATACTCGCCAGCCAATCTTTCAATTGCGTACTAAATGACATGTTTTTTACAGGGTGAGCAAAACCGCATCTATATACATTTACATATATATGTATATATAGATATATCAGTAAGTATATTTCGATGGGCTCTTTATTAATTTTCTAATGGATTTTACGTTTCTGCATTTGAAGATTTCAACAATTCAGATAAATATTTATGCGCGCCGCCTCGGCCGTGGGGTGCAGATAGACAGATACGACGAGAGCGACATCTAAAGATGCGGATACGGATGCTGACTTCAGTCGGCTGTTTGTCTGTCTGCGACAGTCTTTTGGGTCCTTTTTTTATAGACACACACACACACATGAGAATTGATTACGATTGGCAAGTGGCATTTAGTAAGCGAAGTTTGTTTATGTTTTTCTTGCGAGTATCTCAGAGTGTGTGAGAGTGTGTATCTGTGTGTGCTTGTTAGTAATTTATGCGCTTGTATAAATTGCCAATAAACAAACAACATTTAGACAAGCGGAAAACTGCAAAGGTTGCATATTCGAGGGCGACTCTTGCAGTGCCAATCCCCCGAATTACGAACGCCTGTCGCTGACAGGCAGACACTTTTGGCCTGGTTAACACAACTAAAAACAGAAATTAACAACAATTAACAATTGGAATTGTTTGTGTTTTGCAGCGTCGAGAGTTGTTATCTCAATTGTGTTTAATTGGACACTGCCTGGCTTATACTCTATGCTATATATATATATATATGTATATATGGGTGCTATATGTACATAGGTTACGGTTACATGCGAAAGGTGGAGTGGGGTGGTGGGTGGTTTGGGTGTGGTGCGTGGTGCTTGGTGCAGCTGGCTGCGTGCCGTAAAGCGGTTTACTATGAAGTGCAGCATGCTGAAAAATTGCTAACAAAATGATACGCTTTGTAAATTGTGGTTAGCTCTCTCCAATTTTCTCACTCGCTTTTCTTTGCGTGCCAAGTGATACTTTTCCAAGTGCAACAGAAAAACCAACAACAAATCAAGAAATGGGAAAAGGCGCCCACTTTGTGGGCGGCTTTAATTGTGCAGCAAAGAAAACCTTATGAGTAATCGAGTCAGTGTGTGTGTGTGTGTGCGTGTGTGTGTGGTTGGGCAACTGTGTATGTGTGCGTGTGATTGTGTGTGTGTAGTTGACAAACTGAATAATTGCCAATTATTTGGCAAGTTTTATGAGCTGATAATTTCACATATTATATTGTTAAACTCATATCGCAAACACCTATGCAGTAAATTTACTTTCTCTCACTCTCTCTCTCTCTCTCTCTCGCTCTGTTTCTCTCTCGCTCTCTCTTGGGGCATGCACATGCTAAAGTTTATATACAGTATGCACATATGTATTTGAAATTGGGCAAATGCACACAACATTTACAATTTATTGGTATTTGAGTATATTGTTGGGTTTACCTCTCTGGGGGACCTTGGGGCGCGCTCCTTTGACTGACACACTGGACACACCAAATGAAGAGGATGCAATAGGCGCAACATGAACAACAGCAACAATAACAACAAAAATCAAGTAAAGAAAAACAAAACTCGAAGAAGCATTTTGATGGGTTCAACAATTATGGATCACATGAACGGGTTGGACAAAGGGTTTTTCAGTTTTTCGATCGTTTGTTTTCGGGAATTTCTGTCAAATGTTGCGATTCGTTTGGGATTTGGATTTCGGGCACTCTTCAAAACAAAATTCAAATATTTCTGAGAGCGGCATTTGGAGAGCAACTTATAAGAAAATTTTAAAACAAAAATAATTGCATGATTTAAAAAAAAAAAACATTTTCAAAAATATATTTTTTGGACAAAAACAAAAGAAAACATATTCGTAAACTATAAGCTAATAAATGAATATAAAGAAAAGTGCACTTACCTAGCCAGTCTGGAAGAAGTGATCCCGCAAGAGATTCTGAGTATCTCTTACCTGAAAATCAACAGAGAAAACATATACTTAGTTGGGAGTGATAAAGATTGAGAAATGCCTCAAAGTTTTGTTTTTGTGTATTAGTAATCAAACATTAAAAACTTAAAATAATTGAGTAAGATTCAAAATTTGTTAATTTTGGTTTTTTTAAGTGACATAAATTAATAACAGATAAAATAATATTACAATTTAATTATATAGTTATGAATTGTGAAAAATTATTAATTAAATATATCGTTTTAATTAAGATAAATTGTTTGATAATGTTATTTTTATTTTAATATCTAAAACTAAAAATATCTAAAAACTAAAAATCTTTTTTGAGCAAAGTAAAATAAAAAACGGTTCAAAACATCAAATACTCTTTATATATTTTTTTTTCGAAAATTTCCACAGCTGTTTAAATGAATAAAAAATAAATCCTTCAACCGTCTTTCAACGCTGTCAAAGCTAAACAATTGTAAATTTCCGCACTTTTGTGGCTGCTGTCGTTTTAGATTGGGGGGCACTATAAAAAACACATGACTGCCAAATGTGCGGAGAGTTTTTCATAAATTTGGCCAACTTTGCGGCATCTTCTATTTCCTCTATATGCATGTAAATAACCCGGCTAAATCATAATTTCAAGCTTAGCGAGCACACAAGAAGGAGCAGCACTTCGCTCCGCCTTGTACCTAATGCTAATCTAATAACTTTAGCTGTCTACAATTTATTTGTCCTAACAGCAGCGCACAAAATTATGCACACAGCACGCCGCAGTACAGTCTCAGTCTCAGTCTCAGTCTCAGACTCCGTCTTAGCTATAATCCAGGTGCCAGTCACCGTTATGTGCCATGGAGCAGGCAGTAAGACATTGAAGCGCGTCAGGTGCGCGCATTAAAAGGACTCCCGCCACACCCACTACTAAATTTCGCCCAAAGTTTTAAATAATCGAAAACGACTCGACGCACTTGGCGAAAAGTTGAAACATGCTAAATTTGCATAAATAACAACTAAATGCAACTTGACGCTACGCAAAATGGCGCCAAATGATGAATTGCGACGAGGGCGAGGAGCTGAAGACTTAATGAAGCCATTTTTAGAGCCCGGGCTTCCAGTACCCAAGTGCAGATGGAGAGAGATTAGTAAGATATCTGTTATAGTTATGCAATTTGTATTTACAAGAATCGCATATAAATAGGTGTATGCACTAAATAATACTTAGTCAATGCTTCTTTTTTTCCCATATAATCAAGATTGTACAAATTGAGCTGTAAGATACTTAAGATCTTTTTATACCCTTGTAGAGGGTATTAAATTGTTTCATGGAACCGCATTGAAGGAGACGTCTCCGACACCATAATGTCTGCAAGGGTATAAAATCGTCCGCGTGCCGAAGATAACCTTACTTTCTCGATTTTAATTATATCTTTATAAACATTTTTCACGTATAAAATTATAAAATTCTTATTTAATTCATTTCCTCCCAAGAAATTAAATGAAAAATAAAATTAATAATCAAATAAAATATCAATAGTATCTTATAGATACAACAGTGAGTGGTCCTTAGCGCAAATTAGTTTAGTTTAGTCTAGTTCACTTTTCACTTTTCTGAGCCTCGTTAAAATAAATATTGAGTTGAACTCTAAATAGAATTAGCCTTTTTTACACATCATATAAAAGTGCTGTTCAGTTGGGTTGAAATAACCTACTCCCACACATCTTAAATCTCGATCATAAGCAAATTTGCCATTTAAAATGTATCTTTTATTGACTCTCGGAGGTCGCATCCTGTGCGCCCAGCCCCCGCTAGGCGCCCACCTTCATTTAGTAACTGCAGCCCGCCCCCCTCGGGCTTGCCCCGTTGCAAGCTGGCGTCAAAAATGGGCGTTACATTTGCAGTTGTTGTTCATTTTTTATTATCTTTTTGTATTTTTTATGCAAGTCTGCGCTTTTGTGTGCAAATAAATCAGCGACGCCGCGTCACATGTCGCATTTTGGAGCAAGAGCTGGGCAGTCAAGGGGGGGTTGGGCGTAACGGGAGGCTGGCGGCTGGTGGCAGACGGCAGTCGGCAGGCGGCCGGAGGCTGTGTTGGCCGCATTGCGCAAAAACATATCTCACACTATTTGTCACACTAGATACTTTTATTTTAAAATAAATTGCAAACTCTTTTGCAAGTTTGTTTGGCTCAAATGCATTTCCATATTCGAGCCGCAACACCAGGCGATATTTTATAATGAAAATCCTCGCTTGACAAACGATATGCATATGTGTGTGCCTGTGTGTGTGTATGTGGGTATATAAACTGCATGCGCCAAAATGCACACACAATTTTCACATTTTACTAAATTTATCGCATAGTATTCGGGATTTGCGCCAATGAAACAGCAGCCAATAAATAAATTAAATTAATGGCAATGTGTGTTGTTTGTTTGTTGCTTTTTTTTATTACATCGCGCAACCCCCGCTTCTGGCATTACCCTCGGTCAAGGGTTAAATGCTTCACATTAAGCCTGCCTCTTTGACTATTTATAAAATTAGCCAAGTCTACGCAACTCCTTCCGTCGGGCATTGGCTATTAGCTAACAATGGTCACCATGCCCAGCCCCAGCCGCTCGTCATTCCCCTTACCATTACTCGCTGTGTGCTGCCAAGCGTGAGAGAGTAAAGTCCCTTTGCGGGATTTATTATTTTTACAAGATAAATGCAACATTTTACATTGGAATTTACGGGCGTGTGGCAAATAAAACAACAACAAAAAGAGCAGCAACAACAGCGACAACAATAACAAAGTCAAATGTCGCCGCACAGTGGGAAAAATAACAATGGGAACGGCTTGAAAAGTGCTTATTAAAAAGTATAAAAGTTATTATTAGAGCTTTTTTAAGTTAGAGTTTATTAATTTCATCAACAATTTGCGAGGCTTATTAAGAGTGTTAATCAATATCCCTTTTTAAGATTTGTTCGTTAATTCTCTAACTTATTACATTAAATAATAATAATAGGATATACAATTTTAAACATGTGAGAAAATAAGGGAAACTAAATTTTTTGAAAAACGTTAAGAGCAACCTGAATTAAATACAATAAAATTTTCTATATACATACATATTTAACTATTTATTACCAGCGCAAATGAATGATATTTTGTACCACTGTGCGGCTAGAATAAATTTCATGTGGCAGCAACAACAACAACAGCCAGCGACCATTTGGCCATTTTCGATAAAGCACATTTAAACAAATGAAAATCCTTTAAACAAGGATAACAGAGAGCGGCCAGCCGGTGCGCCCAGCCGGGAGATGGGTCATGCAGTGGGTGGGTGGAGTACTCATAGACCTGCCCATTTTAACCCCACAAATTCAGTCCGTTGCGGCCCTCCCTTGGACTCACTTGAGTGTGTAATTGTGTATTTATTTGCGTTATTTGACAAAATATCAACAAGCACAATCAATCCTCGGCAGTTGCTGGAGTCGCCAGTCGCCATTTGCCATTTCCCAGTTGCCAGTCGGGAGTCGGGAGTCGGGAGTCATGAGATCTCCGACCCCCCACTTGCTCTCTGGCTGCGCACTCCAATGGAAATTGCGAATGCTGGCATATGTCTGCTATGGTAGCCGGCAGAGAAATCCATTTAAATTAAAGCTGAGCTGCATTCGAAAAGGCATAAATATCGAGTGGTGAGTGTGAGTATGGGTAAGGGGTTGGGGCTGGGAGGGGGATGTGTTTGTTGGTGCCTTTGCTAACTTTCAATTTGAGCTGAATTCAAATTTAGCCCCGGCAACAGCCCAGGCCAAAGGCAATAAACTCTATGACTCTTTTTATTTTTCTAGTTTTCTATTTTTATTTTTTGTATGCGCAGCTGAACTTTGGCTCAATTCTCGCACAAATTTAGAGACTGCAGACTGCAGGCCCAGACTCGCAATTGTATCTTATGCAAATTTACGTAAATTAAACAAAATCTTTGGAAAACAGAAAAATAAGTTTGTGCTATTTATGTATATGCAAAACTTGTGTATCGAACTTAAGTTATTAAGCGGCTGCTGCAATCCTAAAGAGTCTCGGTCTTAGCTCAAGTATTTAGCTTTGCTAATAGCCCAGCAGGACAGGCAAGCGTGAAAGAGGCATGAAAATCACTTGGGTGCGCATGTCCTAAGTATATATCTGTCTATTTTTTGCTTTCTGGAACCTTTGAGTTTCACTTTTCTATCTTAACTTTTCCTTTAAAAAATTTTATTTTCTCTTTTACAATCTTAACTCTTACATTGACTAGTTTTTTCGACACTTAATATTTGTTATCCTATTTTATGTATCTTTTTTGTCTTGTATCCACATCATATACTGGATAAATATTTTTTTTTATCTTATAAAATCGGACTTTAAGTTTAGGCTTTTAGTTGCTGAAATTTTAAATATGCTGACATTATGAGTTTTCTTTGTTAAATTCGTCTGCGAATTTCCTACTGGGATGTCAGGCTAACACAAAGATAGACTGCGCGCATATATACACATGTGCTCTCCTATGTGTGTGTGTGTGTGTATACAATGCGGCAAAGACTTATGGTTTCAGTGCCGGAATTAGAAGCTTTCTGCCTGCATTTGCACCGAACTGCACTTGCTGCTGTTATTGTTGTTGTTGTTGTTGTTGTTGTTATTGCTGCTGTCGTTGGAACATTTGTCGTCCTTGTTGCTGCTGCTACTGTTGCCCCCCGCATCGCCTCCAACCGTCGTTGGCCAAATATATTGCAAATAATTCTCAATATATCGTAAAATGTCTGTTGCTAGTACAGTAAATATGCAAAGCTCGTTTAGCGGTGTAAATAAAGGGTTAGTTAGGTTGCGAAGGGTGTAAGAGAATGGCGGGCGGAAGGAGGGGGGCGGGCTGAACATGTCGTTTGCTGCGACTCTTGTTCAATAAGGACTCTTTTGGCGACATAAAGGACTTAAATAATATAAAATATTCCATTGACCCAAGCGTTTCAGAGCGAGTATTGTTTAAGGAGCATGCACAGCTCAGGTCAA